ATACTTATTAATTAATAAGTGTAATTAATACTTATTAATTAATAAGTATAATTAATAATACAATATGGATCAATAATACTTATTAAGTATAATTATATAATAATACAATACAGATTAATATGCCATATTGTATATTTAAAAGTTGCTAAGAATAAATCTTGCAAGTGTTCCTAAGAAAAAAAATTGTAACTATGTGTGTTGATAGATGTTACCTAGAATTATCATTTCATAACATATACATATAGCAAATTATGCTATACACCTGAAACTAATATGTCAATTACCTCAAAAGAAAAAAGTGACTGAACTTGTCAGGTTGTCTGCTGGGGAAGGATTCACAAACACTCATATGACAAATGAGATAACAAGTATGCGTTAGCATTGACTGACCATATGTTTTCTGGATCTTGGTCTGGGTGCTGAAGACACATCAGTGAACAAACTGAGTAAAAATTCCTGCCCTAACAGAACCGAAGTCTGTGTGTGTGTGTGTGTGTGTGTGTTCCATTCAGGTAGTAAGATTAATGTACTGACATTACCTAACGTTGGGAGCCTTGTTTGGCTCAGTTAAAATGGATCATGGAAGGAAGATCTTGAAGTCTCTTCTAGCTTTAATATTTTTAAAATGTTGAGGGGCGCCTGGGTGGCGCAGTCGGTTAAGCGTCCGACTTCAGCCAGGTCACGATCTCGCGGTCCGTGAGTTCGAGCCCCGCGTCAGGCTCTGGGCTGATGGCTCCGAGCCTGGAGCCTGTTTCCGATTCTGTGTCTCCCTCTCTCTCTGCCCCTCCCCCGTTCATGCTCTGTCTCTCTCTGTCCCAAAAATAAATAAAAAAAAAAAACGTTGAAAAAAAATTTAAAATGTTGACAATGGTGAGGCATAATTATCAAAACATTTGCTACATGGGCAAATCTTTCAGGCTAAGAAATCCCTTTGCCTTTATTTATTTATTTATTTATTTTTATTTTTATTTATTTATTTATTTTTTTCAACGTTTATTTATTTTTGGGACAGAGAGAGACAGAGCATGAACTGGGGAGGGGCAGAGAGAGAGGGAGACACAGAATCGGAAACAGGCTCCAGGTTCCGAGCCATCAGCCCAGAGCCCGACGTGGGGCTCGAACTCACGGACCGCGAGATCGTGACCTGGCTGAAGTCGGATGCTTAACAGACTGTGCCACCCAGGCGCCCCCCTTTGCCTTTAAAAAAGTATTATTTTGATCTATAAATCAGCAACCTTTATAGAATTTCTCAAGGCTTCTCTTTGTGTCTTTCACTTTATTTATGTAGGACATGTTGTCAGGGTCTCAGGGTCTCATATTCCCTCAGCCCTTCTTGGAGGCCATGTGCTGAGCGTTTCTGTACAGGCTTCCCATGCCTCTCTCTGTCAAAGGGAACAAACTTTGCCCATATATAGGGCAAGATAGAAGTTCAGGAGTTGATATGCTTGGAACAACTATCAACCAATGAGGAGTAGGAGGTGGTGGATAAATATCCAAACATTTTCACCCCCAGAAGAACGATTCTACAGTGTCTCTCCCAGAAAGTCTTCACTGGGATTGAGCCCCAGTTACCCACAGTGGTACACCACTCATTAAAAAAGCGTTTTTAAAAAACTTACCTCCCTTCTTCATGTCACTTCTCCACTCTGCCGTGTGAGAGAGCTTCTGGCATCATCTCCCAAATAAAGTACTTGTATCTAAGTCTCTGTCTTAGGTTCTCCTTTTGGCAGAACCCACACTAAGGTAATATATTTATTTGACCTGGAAATCCAACTGAAAATGCACACATGTGAAGGCTCAAGTTGACCGACTTTCTTGAATAATTTGGATTTGTACTACCCTGTGTCACTTTCACAGAACTGCTCCTGCTTGTACATCTTGTACCTGCTTCAGACTGAATCGATCCTTTCTCTGCCTGGAACCTCATTACTGTTTCTTTGATGACACAGTGCTATTCATTTGACCAGTTTGACCAAAGAATATGAACTCATTGAGTTGTTAACTTCATGGGATGATTTTATTTTTTCAGTAATTGCTAGTGTGTTCTTCCCAGTGGGTAATGGGGACACAACCATAAGTCAGTGTGATTCCAACTGTCTAATCCATTTAAAAAAATCAATCTCATTCGAATTCAAAATAACTCCCTTCTCTTTTGCTTGGGCTAAACTTGTATCAGAGAAAGAGGCAGCAGTAGATAGGAAGTGGCAGAAGACACAGTATGCATTCTTAGTCTCCTTTTCTTTCTTCTAGACCCTTCACGCAAACTATGGGGGTGTCACACTAACACATGGCCCAAATGCATAGGGAGCAGCCAGGAAGGGAGGTTTCAGTAACCCAGCTGGGCGTAGCCAGCCACCTTGGAGATTTTGTTGGAAGAAGGGGAGAGGCTGAATGTCATTTGTGTCAGCCTGAAGACTACAGCCTCTGCTGTTTAGAGTGGTCTTGGTGTAGATGGTATATGCAAATTTTAGAGTAAGGTTCAGCTCCACCCTCAGCCCTTCACCCTGCAGAAAAGTAGCCTCATCTTCCTTTAATTTTCCCCATGGTGCATGCCTCCAATGCACTCTCCAAGGGAGGCATCTCACTACTTGGTTAATGGTTTGATATGTTCCCTGTTCCCTCTCCATTATCTATCATAGACAAAGGGACTTCTTCCATGTTCTGTAATGGCTTCCTGCCTGGGGGAGGAAGCTTCCAACTTTCTCTTCCCTGGCACATAATATGCTACATCCTTTCTCATCCTGCTATGTCAGGCTATTTCCTGAGGGTTTCCACCACCTGAAATTTCCAGGTGAGAAACAAGCTCTTTATATACAAGTGTCCCTCTCAACATCACAGGATAAATGTCAATGTCTCTCTGGTCCGCCAAAGAAGAAGAGGCACCCAATACTCTCTTTCCAGCTGCCAGAGAGCCACATACCTGCTCTGATCCAGAATAATCTCCTTTTTATGTCTCTGTTGGTAAAAGCCTTCAGATCAGTTCAGCATCTTTGACACAGGAAAAAGGTGTAAGGGTCTTTAGCCATGAGCCTGGATTTCCTTGCCCATGGCCTTCCAGAATTTAGTAATTTTGTTCTCAGTTGTGGTATATTTACCACAGTCTTACACCATCTGTAACCTCCGGGGATGGAAATATTTATCTTTGGTTCATGTCATCATGATGTTACATATAGCATTATACTAACTCATGTACATTCCTCAAGATCATAAAGAAACCATTCTTGGTTACTCAAGAAAACTAATTTGGGAAATCACTGGATGTTCTAATAACACGATGGGAAAAAGGCAAACATTTATTTTTATTTGCAAGTGCAGTTTCTGCCAATAGTTAGTGCTCACAAAACCTTTTAAGCTACAGTAACTTTTGGTAAACTCAATGAATATTTATAAAATACCCAGTGATAAGAAAATTACAGAAAAATTTCCATTACACTGTTGAAAATGTTTGGAATCCAAAATCCACTATTTTCTGCAATGGTTTTTAATATTTGTTCTGGTTAAAAAAAGATTTTTTTCTCTTTCTACTTCTACATAGTCCTGGTTAAATTAATACAATCTGTCCCATGAACTTTTAGGACGGCCATTTTCTGGATTTAGATTTTTATTCATACATATTTATATCAATATTTTAATATTTTACATAAAACATTGCTTTGCTATGTTTTATGAAACAAAATTATAGATCCTATTTATGGTGAGACATTTCCAGTTTGGGGGAAAAACTGAAAATCTAATCTGTAGAGGTCATTTTATGCCTTTCCCCCCCTTTTTTAGCTATAATAAATAATTAGCAACCTATTAATTACAAAAATTCTTAATTATGCCTAGAGTAACCAGAGCATTTTCATACATTTCAAATCCTTTTTGTTACTGTATGTGAAGTCATTAAGAAAAGCCTCTGGTTTTCCAGTTTGGTAACAAATGGCTTTTTTTTTCTGATGCATAATTAATAGAAACTAATGATGACTATGTAGCTCTTCCAGAGTTTTTAAAGGCAAATCTATATTGGCCTACAGTTAACATGCAAATTCATCCAACAAGCAACACAAAATGTATTGTAGTCGTCATTCATTGTTATCAACATTCAAGAAGATCTAGTCAGCAGTACATCTCTCCTATGTCGGAAACACATTATAACATGGTCACAACTGAAGTCAGAGCACACCTGGTAAGATACCCCCTTCCTAATTCATCCTCAACTTCCAGCACAACACATGAACAATAGCAATTAACACTGTGGTACAAAGGTAAATACAGACAAGAGTTTGGTGTGCTAGCATACAGAGTTTTAAAAACAGTGACAAACGAACCCAAACATCTTGCCCTGTTCTCTCTCCTTTCCCTTGGTGAGACTGGAATTCTCACAGTCTTACTTAAAACATTCAATTTGGGAACTGAGTCCAATGATCGCAGCACTGAAATTATTCCCGTGGAGGGAAATTTGGCCACAAGGGGACGCCATACCTATCTGAGAGAGGGCACTCTGGGGACCACCCTGCTGTGCAAATACTGGCTTGTGACTAATAGCCTTGAGGGAAAATTTGATTTTTCCCCATATTTAGCTTTATCCCAAGGAGTAGCATGGTGGCATATTGTGGCTCAAATTTTATTTTATTATTTTTGGTTGGATAAGTGAAATGTGTGCCTCCATCACCATCACTCTTAATTCTTCCTCCATCACGTAAGACACTTGTTAAGATAAGAAAGATATTCTACTAAAGCTGACGGTGATTGAGAGTCATTCAGTATTCAAAGTTCCTAAAGAATCGTTGGTTCTCTGAAAGGGATAAAAAAGTAGGAAAGGCTTTTGTTCAAACTCTTGCTAGTAAACAATTACTTCAACTGATACAATGGCTACGTGACATCAAAGTACTATAAATTATCAAAACTATCGTACAGAAAAATTACAAATTCATTGCAAAATACATTACACTGCTACCATTAAGAAAAAAGTGCTTTTTGTTTTCCTTTCTTTTTTTTCTTTCTTTCTTTTTTTTTTTTTTTTTTTTTTTTTTGCCAGAAAAGTATTCTTTCAATATAGAAAATCCTATGCGTTACCCTGCATGTGGCTAGGATATATCGTAACGGAGTTTGTACTGAGTCCTTCTGATTTGCTGGATGAAGGGCTGAAAAATATAATAATGACTTATTAAAGCCTTGTTCCAAATGATCACGCCAGCTGTTGGTGGAGAGATGCCTATTTAAGACACAAGAAGATGCCCTGGTCTGTTGAACCCTGCCTGTCATCACATTGTCCCATCAATCAGCTGGGTAGAGTCCACAAGACTCTTTCGTGTTCCTCATGTTCTCCTGAATTATTCTTATGTCCTCATCTAGCGCTTCCACTGAATCCTTTGCTCAGTGATGTCTGTATTGTCTCATGAGGGGAACGATGCAAGATGGCGGACCTGCCAGTTTCAAGAATGGATGTCCAAGGAGTTCCTGGGCTGTGGCTCTTTGTGAGGGTTCCCTCACCAGCATCAGGTCTAGGAATCCCCGGAGCACTGAAGAAACCTGTGAGAACACAAGATTCCATTCTGAGGACTAACACAGAAATGCAACTAGTTCCCCTACAGTGGTTTCCCAGCCAATTTCCAGTTAAGTCATTCTATCAAACAACATTGAATTCTAGAAAGTCAGCTTAAGAAGACAGAAGTTATGCAAGCAAAAAGTAGGTATTGCCTTTATTAACATAAGATGTTTTTTTTACCTTCTTCAGGTTTGAAATAATATGAGCAAATGACATGGCAATAAAGAATGACAATCTGCTGACTAAATCGAATAATAATAGAAATAACAGCATTATGAAGTGCTTACTATTTATAAGGACTGGTCACACACATATGATGAAATGTGGTACAAACATGGAATAGTTTTATTTTTCTAACTGCAACCATCTAGGCTTTGTGGACTCCCCCTTCTTGAAGACAAATAAGCTTCTGTAGGGTTACCTGACACAGATAACATGTTTTTCTGTAATTCATTATAATTCACTTTTTGAAGTATATCTTACATACATTCAAATGTATAAATATGATGTGTATGTTTTACAGTAGTATTTTTCTATATATTTACACCTAATTACTCTCCAGCCCCACCAAAATACAGACCATTTCTACCACTCCAGGGGCTGACCTCCGGCCCCTTCCTGTTAATACCCATCTCCCTGCAAAGGATTACCACTCTCCTGACTTCTAATAGCATGAATTAACATTGCCTCTTTTGTCCTTTACAGAAATGGAGTCATATACCATCAAGTCTCCTCTTTCACCCTCTTTCACTGGTTTCTTTCACTCAACATTGCATCTGTGGGATTCATCCTGATGTATGTGGTAAAAGCTTTCTCCTTTTCATGAATGCTGTGTAACATTCACTGTTAAATTGTACCACATATTATTTATCCATTTGGAAAACAACCTTGGGCAGTGTCTAATCTTTGACCATTAGGATTAAGGCTGCTCTTCTACATGACATTGAAGAACATCACACCATTCTTTTTGGATGTGGGACTCTTTTGATGTCATGCTATTTTAGCATTTTTAATTGTGTAAACTTATTCCAATTTGGTCAAGGTTTTAACCTCCTGTTCGTTTCAAACAGTCTCCTGTTTTTTTTTGCTTGTTTGTTTGTTTTGCAAGTTCACACAACTATAGGGGTGATTCAATTGGGAGCTCTTCTCTAAGACTTCGGTGTGGGGGAAGAGGGTAATACTGCCCTAAAAGGCAGCCTTACTTCCTCTCAGTGCCATGAGGCAGAGGGCGGGGGAGGTGTGTGTCTGGGTCAGTGTTATATCATCTCGTGGGAATGGCCCCTCCCAGCAAGCCCTGTCCCTCCACCCACACCGGCAGCTACCAGAGTGGTAGTTTTTGTTTTTCTTTATTTTTTTAAAAAAGTTTATTTATTTTGAGGAGAGAAAATGTAAGTGGTGGAGGAGCAGAGAGTGTAGGGAGAGAAAGAATCCCAAATGATCCCCACTATCAGCTCAGAGTTGAATGCGGGGCTCGAATCCATGAACTGCAAGATCATGACTTGAGCCGAAGTCGGGTACTTAATCTACTGAGCCACCTAGGTGCCCCAGACTGGTGGTTCTTTGACTCAGCATCATTTTTTTCTGAGCTTGACCCTACCTGGCAATCCTTGGGAAACAGGAAAGATCCTACTTGGTCCCTTAACCATGCCCTTCATGGCCCGTATGATCCAGTCCCTGCCCACCTCTCTGATATGTCTTGTCTTCCTCCTTTCTCTGGCTCACTTTGGTCAGCCACAGAATCTTTCCATTTTGGCATAAGGCCTTTGCACCTGTTGTTCCCTCTGCCTCAGACATTTTTCTCCCAGATCTTTGCATATCTTGCTCTGTCTTGCCATTCATATTCCAGTTCAGTTAATCTGTTCTCAGAAAGGGATTCTTTCACCCTTCAACCTAAACAAGCTCTGAATCCCCTCTCCTGCATACTCCACTGCATTACAGTGTTTTATTTGCTTGATAGCATATACCACTGTCTGAAATGAATTTTGTTCCTTCATTTGTTTATAGTTTACCACCTGACTCCCCAACTAGAACACAAACTCTATGAGACTCAGGAAATCTGAGGTCTTGAGCTACAATATCCCCAGTAATTAGGACAGTCCCCAGTATGTCACAGGTGCTCCGAGAGGGAATTCTTGTGGAGTGCCTGATTTACTCTTCTAGCCAACCCTACAAAAGAGGAGCCAACTGTATCCCATTTTACAGATAGACTTCAGAGATGGAGAGGCTAAGTACCTAGCCCAGTGAGTGAACAGGAAGAGCAGAGATTTGAATCCAAATGATTCGAATTCCAAAGTTCATGCCCATAAACCAGGATCTACTCCTGGTGAGGATAGGCAAGTCTTTGAAACTACAGAGAGAATGGAGAAGCTAAGAATGACTTTGAACTTCAGCAACACATGCTGTTTCTCACCTTGTGTAGGTCCTTCACTCTTGGAGGTAAACTGTCCCGAATCCTCCGCATTGCCTGGAGGGGGGGCTCATTGAAATAGGGGGGCTCGCCATCAATCATTTCTATCACCATGATTCCGAGGGACCAGATATCCACCTGTTAGGGACAATCCAATGGTTATCTCAGGCCAGGAGAACATTCTGAAACTCTGGATGTGTCTAGGGGACCTAACAGATTCACACCCATTTATAAATTAATGTGGTATTTGTAAACTCTCAAAATTTACAACACAGATTTATAAACTGAACTGTTGAGTTATAAATTTTTTGCTAATGGTCTTCATTTCTTTCTAAATGTGACTTCAGTGAAGATTCTGTCATTTAGGTACACATGAATATGTTAACATTCTGGACCTCAGGAGTCCAGAACTTTTTTTTTTTTTTTTTTTTTTTTTACTGTTAACTTTGGTGTTTACAGGCCTATCAGGACAGATGAGGAAAACACCCAAAGTTTTATACTATGAATGTAGAGAAGAAAGTTGCATTTAAAATCATAAAAAAGGGAAGCTGACATATTCATAACAAACTGCAAAAAGCTACTTTACACAACACGATATATGCTGATCCTTTTATTAATTTGATTTCTAAAAATAGTTCTTCTTTCTCTACTTTGGAGTTATTTCCTTTGCATTTTATCATTTTGAAGCAGCATGCACAACACTCTGCTTTGTAAAAACATTTTCAGGGAATGGAGAAAAGAAAAGGAAGGGATGACAAGCAATTCTTTCTGAGTAAAGAATGGGAAGTCAGGACGAGAAGCCATCGCTGTGCTATAAATTCCCAGTTACAGCCACTTCCCTGTTACAGCCTCATTATACCTCTTATCAGTTAGCTGCATTCCTGTTACAACCCTTGCTGTAATCTTCACTGAGAATTTATGCTCTTGGGACCACAGTGATAAAAACAAGTACTCATTCAAGGGCGAGCAAACAAGGAAAGAGAGCAGAGTCTGCCTTCACTTCTGCCAATATCCTTAGTTCACTGGTCCATGCTGCCTCTTCATGCTTCTCCTCTCTTAGAATCACCTTCTGCACCATAATGTGTGGAAATGTTGTGTGCCTGGCCGGAACGAACTCTTTGCTGCCCTGTGTGTAGACTTGTGTGTCTCAGAGCTTCACTCATGCTACTCCCTCCCTAGAAGGCTTTTCCTCCACTCCTTCTGGCCCCTTATTTTCACATTTCCAAACCTTGTCCCTTAATAGATTAAGAGCAATTGTTTCTTTTCCAAGGGAAACAGAAATTGTGCCATATTTTAAAATGTTATAATATTCATACATAATTTTTTTCTCTGGGAAAACATTTGTTCTCTGTCCCTCTATGACACCTGCTCATGTGTGCATCTCTGGCTACTTTTCAAGTTGTACTGCCTTGCTTTGAGTGTGCCTGCCACAGAGGATGCGATTGGAGTTTGTGTGATCTACCTCCCTCACCCTCAGTGTCTGTTTAGGACCTCAATAAATGCCCCTGGGTCAATGTTGTGGTGATTTCGTCAATGACAGCTAGTCCCCTTCCTGCCACAACCTCCTCTGTGACAAGTCTAGTGAATGGGGTCAAAGGTGGAGTCCAAAGTCATCACCCTGATCTGTGGTCATTAACTCTCCCAGAACCACTGAATCCCTAAGCCTGCTATCCTGCCACTCCCAAACAATGACTGTCACCCCCTTACCTCTGTCCCATAAGGTAGCCTAGAAATCACCTCAGGTGCCATCCAGTAAGGAGTGCCAACCAGTGATTTCCTCTTCGGCACCTCTTTAGAAACTTGAGCACAGAAACCAAAGTCAGATAGCTTTATCTGAAAAGGAAAGGAATATAACAAGGTAACAATCTAATAATACCAGTTTCCAGATGGAGAAAGAGAATTTCAAATTCAAAACAAAATAGTCTCATGAACAGGCCTTGGAAATATGGGAGGTGGTCAGACCCTTTTATTGAAAAGGCACGATCCATTTTCATGGAAAAACCTCTCATGGCTCCACCAGGGTTGACTTGCAAATGTGAAACCAGAAAAGTTTACAAATTACACTCCAGACAACACATTTGTTAAAATTCAAACACACAACTCTAATGCTTAATATACAGATGATGGCTTAGTGTAAGTGAATTGCTATTCTTCACGTGAGTTTTGTACAAACTGCTGGAATTGAGGTTGTTTTGCATTGAACATATTTAGATTTCCAAGTACCATGAGATGATTAAAATCATCAACCCCATTTCTATATTTGAATTAATGCAAGGCCCCATTTCTATAGAATGCTGAATATTGGCTCTTATTTTTGTTTTCCTTTTTTTCTCATCACAAATTGAATTTGCCAATGTGAACATCAGTGTAGGTAGAAATATGGGTATAGAAACTGGATGTTAGCACTTGTACTAAGGCTTTAAGGTGGTCATCCTAATGACCCAACCAACATATATATATATATATATATATATATATATATATATATATATAATTTACCTTAGATGTCATTAAAAAAAGCCCTGAGAACTCTTGCACAGAGCTTTCAAGATTACTCTTAAGAACATACTGCACCATTAGGCACCCTGCAGGTGTGTATACTTCAGAGAACCAGGATTCAGTTCATTTGTGGGGGCCATGATTCCTGCTCATGATGACTTGATCTGAACTTCAGATGGCCTCACTGAAGAGGACTGCCACTTAGGGCTGCTGGTGATGACAGAATACACGCAAAGAAAACAATGGTTCAGAATGGGCATTTAAAATAAAAATTCTCATAGATTAAAGGTATAGTCTCTATGGCACAAATTCTCCCTTAATTCTCTTTAGAACTCCCTGAATTGTTTCAACCCTTTTCCCTGGCTGTCTCTCTGCTGCCTATGCCTTAAAGACTGGGCTTCCTAGGGTTCAGGTCTTAACCCTCATCTCTTCTCTCTGTATATGCTCTTGCTGTGTACTTTTCTTCCTCCCATGCTTAATTAAGATCTCTTTCTCCTCCCTTCTAAACCTAGATTTCCATCGAATATATGTTTCCACATGGAGTTATATGCAGGGTATAAGGTCTGTGTCTAGAGTTTTTTTCTTGTGGATGTCCAGTTGTTCCAGTACCATTTGTTGAAAAGACCATCTTTGGTCCATTGTATTGCTTTTGTTCCCTTGTCAAAGATCAGCTGACTCTATGTGGGTCTATTTCTGGGCTAATTGGTTCCACTGGCCCATTTGTCTATTCTTTTGCCAATAACACTGTCTCAATGACTACAGCTTTCTAGTAACGCTTAAAGTCAGGCAGTGGTAGTCTTGCATGACTTTGCTCTTCTTCTTTAATAAGCGTTGGCTAGTGTGATGGTATTTTGCCTCTCCACACACACTTTAGAATCAGCTTGTCAATATCTACAAAATAATTTGCTTGGATTTTGACTGGGATTGCATTGAATCTATAGATTGAGTTGGGAAGAAATGACATTTTGGCAATACTGAGTCTTCCTATCCATGAACATGGAGTATTTCTACATTTATTTAGTCCTTTGATTTCATTTGTCACTGTTTTCATAGATTCCCTCATATAAATTCAGTATACATTTTGTTAGACTTATACCTAAATGTTTAATCTTAGGGTGTTAGTGTAAATGGCACTGTGTTAATTTCCAATTCCACTTGTTCATTACTAGCATATAGCAAAATGATGTAATTCTGTTTAAAACCATATATCCTGCAAACTTGTAATAGTTTTAGTTTTTCTTGTCAATTCTTTTGGATTTTATACATAGATGATCATGTCATCTATGAAGAAAGACAGTTTTATTTCTTTCTTCCCAGTATGTATAACTTTTATTGTTCTTTTTTTTTGAATTACTGCATATGCTAGTACATCTAGTATCATGTTGAAAAGGAGAGGTGAAGGAGAACATCTCTGCCTACTTCCTAATCTTAGTGGGTAAGTATATTCAATTTTTAAGCATATTTCAAGGCCCTGGTCACTTCTCACTTCCTCCAGATTTTTTCTCAGGAGCCCATATTGATCTCTCTCCTCTCCAGATGTGAGAGAATTTAGCACTCACTCAATCTTGAACTATTTTCTGATGCTGATTTTGTCCCTCCAACTAGAGATGACAGTCCTCAGAGGCAACGGTTCTACCTCTTAATTGTGAAGCCTCACTGTGTTCCTTAAAAGCTGGGAAAACAGTAGGTAACCAAAAAACACATGTTACTAGATTGATTTATTTTATAATGACACATACATATATGATAGCAGATCATGTGGTAGAGGACACATTGGTACTCTTTCTGAAACCATTATTGACTTACTGAAGACAGCTGTTACTAGAATCAAAGTTGGAACACAGATGAAGTGGGAGTAATGTTTCAGAAATTATTGGGGCCTTTTTCTATTTCCTTGTTCATGATCTCCTCTCTAATCAGTCCAAGGTTAGTGTTGGTATGGTTTGGGGTGGGAAGAGATTGAAATGCTTCAGATGGAATGCTATAGAAAGCTGGTTTGATGGAGAGATGATTTTTCTCCACTGCTTTGGCATATCAAGCATCAAACCCAGATGAGTCAGATCATAGACTTCCCACGTGGTATAAAGAGAGACTTGTGGCCATAGTAGCTGGTCCATAATCCTTGCTGCCCTATTGTAAAAGGAATCTACAATTCAGAGAAGTGAAAATCCTAGAGTCCAATCCTTTTTAGCCTGGGATTATTTGCAGAAGAAGACAAAGAGCAGTGATTTGATTATGGCAGGTCCCAATTTATTATATATCACTTCCATCACCCAAGCAGATGGTGATGGCCTTCAGAAATATCTAAGTAGCATACACCACCAAACAAACAAGGGAGAGGAGAAGCCACATGTATCTGTGTTCAGAGGTAGTATTCAAAATATTTAATAACCAGAATCATCTAGATCAATTGGAATCTAGACATAAAGTTGAGCTGTGTCCTGGAGTTATCCTAGGGCTTTACTATCTTTAATGAGGCACGGGCATCCCAGTAAAGGGCTGTTATAATGGGGGATACTCCAATGACTTGAAACAGTGGCTATTAACTAACAAGCATGAAAATATTGTAATATTTTAATATGGGTATAGACATAGTAGTGAATACTGGCTGAACGTCAACCTTGGCTCTGCTCAATGTGGCCCCCATGGAGAGATGGCACAACAGAGTGGATGGCAGAGAACCTGAGGCAACGCTTCTGGCTTCCATGGTCTTGGTCTACTGTGCAGGGGCCCAGAGCTCCTGCAGATCTCAGTGAGGGAATGAGGAAGTGGTTGACATGAGAAGCTTCAGGATGGCTTTCAAGACTTGAAGAAAGAGGCTGGATTTGTGAAATGCTGCAGAAGACACCTTCCTGAAAAGTCCAGTAGCTGTGTGACCTGTTAATCATCAGTAGTCACCAGTCTTGGTAGAAGAAGCCAGTTATGCCAAGGCAGGGACCAGAACGGAACAAAATGGGTCTAATATCCTTTACTTTGAATTCCCATAAGCCACATTTGTCCCTTATTCTCCCAGACTCTTTGAGAAAGAGGGGGGTAGGAAGTGGTAAGATGGAGTAGATGGTGGCCAAATCTGAAAGACTGAGGTTCTAAGGTATCAGCTGAAACTTATAATAATGTGGTTGAACTTTGACAGACAATGTTTAAATTATTTAAGCAGGCTAAATTTAATGGACTGAATTAAAAGTCTTTTTTCTTTTCTTTTCATCAATGGAGTTTTGTGAAGAAGTGCAGATCAGTTTTAAGAAGCAGAGAAATTAGGGGCACCTGCGTGCCTCAGTTGGTTAGGTCTCTGACTCTTGATCTTGGCTCAGGTCATGACCTCACGGTTCATGGGATTGAGCCCTGTGTCAGGCACTGCCCTGACAGTACAGAGCCTGCTTGGGATTCTCTCTCTCAAAAATAAATAAGCATTAAAAAAAAAAGAAGCAGAGAAACTATAATTGATGGTGCATGCATGTGTGGTTATTTCCAAAGCTTTGGTGTGAATAAATTTGCAATCCTACTATACAGACAGTGGAGGAGGAACAATTTTGCCAAATCATTTTTTTTTTGCCTGTAGATTTTAAAAAATATGAATTAAGGAGGTGAATGTATCAGCATTTTGGTATTGGCAGCTTTTAATACCTCTAATGTGGCTTTCTTCTTCTAGACATAAAAAAAAACCCCAAACTGCCAGACTAATAATTATCTCGGCAACATGTAAGGTGAGAAACTGAAACTCAACACTAGGAAGCTAGGCCTGTTCCTCTGTTGTAGAAGTGCAACTGTTTTTACATGATTTTGTTTTACTCATCCAAGGACATAAAAGAGACAATTCTCTAAAAGAACATAATTGCACACAACACTCTTCCAAATAAATCTGAAAGTAGATAATGGGAACTTAAGTAATGAGTATAATAAAGTACTGTAGGGAGATCTTCAAAGCAAATCACACAGACTCTAAGCTGAGACTTATTTGAGATAGAACTGTACAGAATGGTGTATTAGGAAACACTCTGTCTCACTAATGCAGTTAGGCTAAGAGACTTGTAGCTAGAACATGGCCAACCCCTAAAAAAAGGAGGAGATGCAGCCTGTTCCCCATGGGCCAGACAAGAAACCAGAGCTCAGAGCTCAAAGCTGCTCTTTAAAGTTGACTTCTTGTTTATCTCAGTGTGCCCTGGCTAGGAATCAGGGGCCACATAAAAACATGGGTGGTGGCTGGGGGGAGAGTCTATCCACAAGATAGCTACAGGTTTAAAAGAGAAGGTAAAACCCTCATTTTGTAAATTGCATACACTCTAAAGAATTCATGCATCTGCTCTAGGTTTTGCTAAGGCAAACAGATGGATGCT